CATGCGCTTCCGTCACGGTGTTCTGTTGTGCCAGAAGCAGCTTAGTCATGCTGGCCAGATGACCCGGAGGCTGTACACCGGCTCCCTCAGCCAATAAAGCGAGATGAGCGACGCAACCCCAGAGTCGGTCACGACTGGACTTAACTGTCAGGGTCCTTTACCTTTTAAAAATCTCTTAGCACCCATAACAAACTACAGCTCCCAGAATCTACAGGATTTCTTTTGGGGGAAAGTCACGTGCCTTAAATGTGCTTTGGATGTGCTTTAAACGTGCGGTGTGGATCTGCCTGAAATGTTTGCGTTGGAAACAAAATATTTAGAGAACAAATGGGGAGGGGAGGGAATAAATAACCCAAAAATAGATAAAACTCTTTGAAGAATAAATGAATATTTGGGGGAGATGGCTGTTTTTCGTGTGTGACATCCATTCAGTATCCTCCACAGATTTTGGGCGAAAGCTGTTGAAAGACTGACATATTAGGGGCGGCGGGTACACGTCTGTGGTTCATGTAGCCTGCCTGTTCGGAGAGATAGATTTTTAAATGTCTTGACATTTCCTTACCGTCAGAAGAAATTATTGAGGTCAGATACAAGCGAATGGCTAAGAGTGGGTGAATGGGACTGGAAACCCTTTGGGGGTAGGCAGTTGGGGGGGGGTGGAGAAACTGTTGCCTACATAAATCTTGCAATTTCACCCAAGATGAATCCCATAAACAAAAAGCTAACCTTCCAGTCACCTGAATAGGATTAAGAGTCTGCCATATAAACAAAACACACACACAGGCAACCCACCCACCTAAAATTCATTCCGGGTCCTGTTTGTTTGCTTGGTCGCTGGTTATTTCTTCCTGGTTTTTTCTATATAAAATAAACAACCCTGCTCTCCTGTACAAACTCGTCCAATGCACAGTTTCATTTTGCTTCCTGGTAGCTGAGACTTTTCTGGCTTTTCTCTAGAGCAGTGTTCCCCAACCTTGGGCCTCCAGCTGTTTTTGGACTACAACTCCCATCATCCCTCGCTAGCAAGACCAGTGGTCAAGGATGATGGGAATTGTAGTCCAAAAACAGCTGGAGGCCCAAGGTTGGGGAACACTGCTCTAGAGAGACAAAAGTCAGTCATGTACCTGTATTTATTGATTGACTTAAGTTAACGCTTGTAAGCTGCCACTGTGAATCTTGGGCAGCTGGAAGTGGCTTGAAGATGTCACAAATAAGGAACACTTTTGTGATGAAAAAGATGCCCCGAGTTCGAAAACATAGGATTCCAAATTGCCTGATTTCGCTCCCAATATTGAAAGCTCAAATGGTTTTAACAGTGGAATAGAAAAAGAAAGCAGAGACATCACCTTGCCGACAAAGGTCCGTATAGTTAAAGCTATGGTTTTCCCAGTAGTAATGTATGGAAGTGAGAGCTGGACCATAAAGAAGTCTGATCGCCGAAGAATGGATGCTTTTGAATTATGGTGCTGGAGGAGACTCTTGAGAGTCCCATGGACTGCAAGAAGATCAAACCTATCCATTCTGAAGGAAATCAGCCCTGAGTGCTCACTGGAAGGACAGATCCTGAAGCTGAGGCTCCAAGACTTTGGCCACCTCATGAGAAGAGAAGACTCCCTGGAAAAGACCTTGATGTTGGGAAAGATGGAGGGCACAAGGAGAAGGGGACGACAGAGGACGAGATGGTTGGACAGTGTTCTCAAAGCTATTAACATGAGTTTGACCAAACTGTGGGAGGCAGTGGTAGACAGGAGTGCCTGGCGTGCTCTGGTCCATGGGGTCACAAAGAGTCGGACACAACTAAATGAGTAAACAACAAAGAAAAAATGTTGTGCATGATACATATGTGAATAATTGTTAGTTTTTATTTATCTATTTATAAAAAAAATAATCTGTGTGCTGCTGTGTCATAAAGAATATATCGAAACAGTTCACAGCAATAAAAGCATTAAAACCAGACTATAAAAACCATAAACAATTAACCATTGCGGAATGATGTATTTTTAATTGCCTGCATAAGCTTGGCAGAATAGAAAAGCTTTCAGCAGGTGTTCAAAGGTTGGCACAGACGTGATACCTTAGTGGAACATCCATTTTCAGTGAATGTATACCTCTGGATGCAATTTTGTAGTTAAAACTTTGGCCGACTCTATAACCAATAATGGAAGATTGTGTAGCAACAGTGATGGCAGGAGGACTTGGGAAAGAAGAGGTTTCGTCGGCTTTGTTCTGTTCTGATCTGATGAGATGCTAATGTCACGAGCACCACCTTAGCAACTCAGAAGCCTTTGCCTCATGGCCAATGACTGTCCTCAAATGTCCTCACAACATCTTGCCTTTGGTGTCATCTGAAAACCCGGTTGACTTGGCAAATGAGAGCTTTGAGGCAAACACAGATTGAGTGCTTCTCGGTTTGATTTCTGGCGAACCCGGACGTTTTGCAGTATATCTCCTCCTTCTGTGCCCCGGACAGTGTTCTCTGAGTTTGCTTGCTATGCTATAATCTCCTGCAGGGGGTTAGAAACTGCAAAGGTTAAGAAACGGCCATTCTTGTCTGCAGGAGGAGATGTAACTAGACCTTTTTGGCCTTTTCAGTTTCACTGGGCCACCCAAAGGGGCTGCACTTTTATTTGTTGCTGATGCCGTCACTGAATACAGCACCGTCGATGAATCTTTAGAGAGCAAAGGAGACAAGGGAAGAAAAAAGGAGCTCTCTGCTTTTAGAAGCTTGCAGACTAAATGTTAACAGCAGGGAAGAGAGACAGAAATGGGAGGAAAGTCAAAAATAGCAGGTGGGGTGAAGGGTCAAGCTTGGCAAAGGCATCCTTTGCTGGAAGACATTAGCCCCCAGCACCCATGAGCTCAGCAACATCTCATGCTCTTGACTTCCCTAGTGCTGGGCAGAAGACGGTATCGTCATGCCCGGTTCACATCAGCAAGTGGAAAAGAAAACAGAATGGAAGCAAGATTGTTTCCCACCCCCCTCGAGAAAAACTGCCCCCTGGTTTCCCCCAGGTAATTTGTGCAAAGGCGGCTGCTGCGTTGCCATTTAGACCTGCTCTGCTTGTTCGGCACTGCAGCAGGGAAAATCCAGTAGGCGAATCTACACTGGTCGCTTATAGCGTTAGAAATGCGTTATGGAAATGTCACACCAGAGGGCGCTGCAGAGCAGCGATCTGTCGGCAATGGGAAATTGCATTGAGAGCTACATAACTTTTTTTTGTAGCCTTTGATAGCGTTTTTACAGGTCAGTGGAGATCCAGCTCTCTCCGCAGCCTATGACGTCCTTTTTGGGGGAAGGATCACAGCTCAGCAATAAAGCAAATTCCCTGGTGTGTCTCCAGGTAGAGCAGGGGAAGGCTGCTTCCTAAAATCCTGCAGGGCTGCTGCCAGTCAGGGTAGACAATACTGAGGTAGATGGGCCAAGAGTCTGACTCTTTTACAAGAAAGGAGATTCCAACTAAACATCAGAAAGAACTTTGTGATGGGAAGAGCTGTTTGGCAGTGGAACAGACTCCCTTCCTTGGAGGTTTTGAAGCAAAGGTTGGATGGCCATCTGTCATGGATGCTATAGTTGAGAATCCTGCATTGCATACGTTTTTGAAAAAACAGAGTCTATGCAATAACAGCAGCAAGAATATTATTGGCCCAAAAATGGAAGCAAGAAGAGTTACCAACGATTGAAGAATGGAGGATGAAGTTAATGGACTATGCAGAATTAGGTAAACTAACAGGAAGGATTCGAAACCGGTGAGACCAGAAATTCACGGAAGACTGGAGTAAATTTACGGACTATTTGAAAAGTAATTGTGAAGAACAGATGACGTTTGTAGGGTTGCAAAAAATTTTGTGAGGAGTATTATTAGAAGTATTGTAAAAATGGACAAGGGGGAGGATGATTTGTTAAGAGATGTAAAGGCAATATAAAGTTAAGAAATGCATAAGAAGTGGTTAAAACGGTGGATCATCAGAGGTGCTGATGGAAGTCTAAAAATATTGTATAAGTGATAAGCTTTGTGGTACATTTTATAATTTATATGTTAAAATGAATAAAAAAAATTATAAAAAAAAATGGCCAAGAAAAGAAGAAAAAAACCAGAGTCATTCTTGTTGGGAATGGTGGGAGAAGACATTGACAAGAATGACCAGAAACTATTCTTATACACAACAACGGCGGTGAGGTTATTGCTGGCTCAGGTATGGAAACAGCAAAAATTGCCTACAATAGAAGAATGGCAATAGAAGGTTATGGAGTACGCAGAAATAGCCAAATTAACAGCAAAAATTCGACATCAGGGGGATGAAACATATAAAAAGAATGGGGAAAATTTATGTTATATATAGAGAAGATGATGTGAAATAGGGAAACCAGTAGAATTAAAGTAATATCTCATAATGGGAAATACAAGAAATTTACTGGATAATCATATGAAAATGAATTTAAAATGTATATTAGCACTACTATTGAACAATATTTGTAAATGAATATAGACAGACAACAATAATTTGTATATATAGAAAGATTTATTTGTTTACGGACATTTAATGGAAAAAATGAAGAAGAACAATCTTATTGAAAATGGACAAAGACAATGCGAAAAGTCAAAGAGGACACAAAGAAGCCAGAAGGAGGAAGGAGAGAAGTCAGCTCGGGAGAGCAAGAAGAAATGTGAAATATAATGTATGTGTATGTACAGTATGTAACTAGAAATTCAATAAAGATCATCTGGGGAAAAAGAGAGAGAATCCTTCATTGCAAGGGGTTGGACTAGATGACCCTTGGGGTCCCTTCCAACGCTACAATTCTTTGATCCTGTGAAGGGACAACAGAAGTGCAAAGGGGTTTGTGGATGGTACATGATGTCAGGGGGCTACAAAAAAAAGCCCATGCATGCCATGTTGAAAGAGACCCATTATGTGCTTCAACATCCCTAACCTAGATTTGCTTACAAAGCAGAAACGACCGACCCGTTAAATTTCTCGTTCTCATCTTTCCATTTCAGGTTGGCTGCAAGGCTGCGATGGTCTTCTTCCAGTACTGCATCATGGCCAACTTCTTCTGGCTCCTAGTTGAAGGCTTGTACCTTCACACGCTTCTGGTCATCTCCTTCTTCTCAGAGAAAAAATATTTCTGGTGGTACATCCTGATTGGCTGGGGTAGGCAACCTCTTTGGTTGTCGTGCCTTTTTTCTGATATAGAAAAATGTTGCTGTGTTTTTGCAAGAACAGAAATAGTCCATAGCAGAGGGTGAGGGACGTGTGCCCCCCCCCAATGTTGCCGGACTACAACTCCCATCATCCCTTTTTTATTTTATTCCTTCTTTTTCTTGTATGTATGCAATATAGCACCATTTAAGAAGAGCAAAACAAAACAAAAGAATATCCAGGGCTGAAAACAAACAACAGTTTTTTAAAAAATGAAACAAATTGAAATTGTAATATTCCAAGTGGTTTTTAATTGTTTTTAATGTTGTTTTAAATGTAGTAAAGCACCCTGGGGTTTTAGGGTGAAGGGCGGGAAAGAAAGAAAGAAAGAAAGAAAGAAAGAAAGAAAGAAAGAAAGAAAGAAAGAAAGAAAGAAAGAAAGAAAGATGTAATACAAATGCAACTTTCAGATTGAAAGCAGAACTTTGAAATCTAATCAAAATCTGATCCTCACTTGGCAGGTGCACCCAGCTTGTTTATCTCTGCCTGGACTATCACTCGGATCCACTTTGAGGATGTTGGGTAAGCAGGCAAAATTCATCCACAAGGCTTCCTGGTGCCAGGAGAAAATGTTGGCTTGATGAGGAGGGCTCTGTAGGTGGCAAAATTGGGCTTTAACGCCTAGGCAGGGGCTGCAGAAGTACTGACTCTCTCCATTCATTTGCCAGCTTTTTGTTAGTGTTGAAGAGATGCTCAGTTCCTGTTTTCCAAGAAGAGCTGGCAACTTCAGTATCTGTTGATTTCCGAGTCTCGCTCCTTCCTTGCACCCAGAATTGGCATTATGCAGAGTGAGGCAGCAACCTCAGGCAGTGGTATTTAGACAACAGCGCTGAGTATGTCACAAAGGAAGATAGATACATCCAGTTCAGTTTGCATTTAAAGGGAAAACCTGCCTAATTTTCACTTTCTGAAACAATACACAAACTGAGACACAGTCATCCTTTGAAATCCACACTCCTCCGAATTTTCAGATGACGTTCCCTAGCCAACTAATAAGTACAAAAATGCATATACTAGTGTTATTCTTGAAAATAACATCGGAGAATGCATTGTATTTGGGAGAACTGCTTTGCAAAAAAGTGTGTGGCAGGAAATATTTGCACCAAAATACTGGGGATGTTTCATGAGGATGAGTCTCCTGTTTGGGTTACTCAGAAAGGGCTGTGACTCAATGGTTGGACACCTGCTTTGCATGTAGAAGGCACAAGGTTCAATCCCCAGCTAGAAAAGAACCTGTCTGAACTCCAGGATTGGGGAATTATTCTCAGACCATATTCCCTCACAGGGAGCACTGCGCTCTACATGGGGCTACCTTTGAAGGTGACTCAGAAACTACAACCAATCCAGAATGTGGCAGCTAGACTGGTGACTGGGAGCGGCCACCGAGACCACATAACACCGGTCCTGAAAGACCTACATTGGCTCCCAGTACGTTTCTGAGCACAATTCAAAATGTTGGTGCTGACCTTTGAAGCCCTAAATGGCCTCAGTCCAATATACCTGAAGGAGCGTCTCCACCCCTATTGTTCTACCCGGACACTGAGGTCCAGCTCCCAGGGCCTTCTGACAGTTCCCTCACTGCGAGAAGTGAAGTTACAGGGAACCAGGCAGAGGGCCTTCTCGGTGGTGGCACCCGCCCTGTGGAATGCCCTCCCATCGGATGTCAAACAGATAAACAACTATCTGACTTTTAGAAGACATCTGAAGGCAGCCCTGTTTAGGGAAGTTTTTAATGTTTGTTGTTTTATTATGCTTTTATATTTGTTGGAAGCTGCCCAGGGTGGCTGGGGCAACCCAATCAGATGGGCAGGGTACAAATATTAAAATTACTGTTACCATTATTATTCCGGGGGTCACTTGCTACTGGTGGACAGAGCCAAGGAGAAAACAGGTGGAGGAACAGATGCAATCTTTAGCATTATACAGTTGTACCTTGGTTGCCAAATGCCTTGGAACTCATACGTTTCAGCTCCCAAACAATCAAAAACCAGAAGTGAGTGTTCCTGTTTCCGAACAATTTTCAGAAGCCGAACGTCCGGCACAACTTCCGTGGCTTCTGATTGGCTGCAGGAGCTTCCTGCAGCCAATCAGAAGCCACGCTTTGATTTCTGAATGTTTTGGAAGTTGACTGGACTTCCGGAACAGATTCCGTCTGACTTCCAAGGTATGACTGTAGCTAGATCCCAGCTCTGTGGAAGCCTGAGTTTACTGAGTATATAAACCACAGCTCTATATCCAGGCAAACAAGGCATTGTCACATTCAAGCGAGAGGGCATGGTCTCAGGTATTACCTAAGGATGAGATGTGGCCTAGAGAGGCCTGAGGGCCACTTAAAGAGACCCGGAGAGCCACATTTGGCTCCTGGGTCTGAGGTTCCCCCACCTTGGCCCGGATATAGACATTACTGAACAAGACAGGCCCATGGCAGCTTTTGTTATTCCTCTCTTTCCCTGCATTGTGCAGCAATTGGGAAGTGTTAGATGTGGTCTGGGGCCACTTTTCAGTTCCTGTGGGGCCCCACAGGCCTCGTCACTGCTGCACATGAGCATATATCATGCAGAGAGTCAAACCACTGGGTCCATCTAACCCACGATAGTCGGTTCCAGTTGACAGCAGCTTCCTGTGGTCTCAGCTGAAGGCCTAAGATGCTTTTGCAGAGATACCAGCATGTGCTTCCACCCCTGAGCTGTGGTCCCATGAACTGTGTGTGCCTCTTTAAGATACAGACATCCTCCTTCTACATTGTCTGGAACTGAAGGGTATCATTTACTTCCTCAACTGCTTCCTCCGTACCCAAGAAGAAGTTCTTGATCTATTTGTATTCCTTTACAGTTGTTGGGACTTAATCGAATCTCCCTTTTGGTGGATCATCAAGGCTCCCATTTTGGTTTCCATATTGGTAATGTATCCATGGATATATATCCCCCCCCCCCATCATTCCTTCGCTGGCCTTCTCATGCATCGCTGTTGCTTCTGGGGAGGCAGAAATCGCCTCCGGTGTTTCGTTACTGAATTCTAGAGTTTTGCTAAGAATATGCTTTGCTTAGCAGGAACAGAACCCGGATGTATCAATTCTGATTCACATCCTTCACAAGTCCAGTTCATGCTGATGTTCTGCAGTTGTCTCAGCCAGGGGAGGGTGGGGTTCTAGGCCACATAGGTACATGTTCTAGGCTCAGATTTTAAGACACGTGCTGCTAGACCCTGTTGAGGGACCATTAAGCAACACGTGGCCAAGCAGATTTCTGGGTCCGGGGCACTAACCTTAGGTGTGCTGTGGTAAACGGTACCTCTCCGTCTCCTCCGACTAACCGAAAAGGCTCTTGACCTGTCATGGCATCGACGTGTGCATAGCTGTGCTCTGTGGGCTTGACATCATCATACTTGGGATGTCATAACACAAAAGTCCCATGCAGGCTGATGTCAGGCCCAAGATGGCTGCCGTCCTGTCTTACTTTACCTTGTCCCTCTCTGAGCGGTGTCTGGTCTTTGTTGTCTCTCGATTATGCTGCATACACCCAAAAAATGAAGTTGTGACGGGCAAAATAATCCTTCTGAAGCAGGGCCGTTCGACGAGCTCGTACACACGACTGTTTTACCACACATTACCTCACACACCTGCACCAAATGTGTGGCAAAATCTTAGTGCGCGACATGGCAAGGTAACCAAGAGGACAAGAGCTAACCCCGTATCACCTCGTGGCAGTTTAGTCATGTTTGTTGACTCCGTTTGACAGAAAAGAAACTGACCTGTCCCCTTTTTCTAATTTTGTTTCTCAATTTCTCTCCCCCACAGATAAATTTCGTCCTCTTTATTTGCATCATCCGGATCCTGGTTCAGAAACTTCACTCTCCAGATGTCGGACGAAATGATACAAGCCAGTATTCGTAAGTCTGAATTTACTTTGCAGCTCAAAAAATGATTATTATTTTTTTTTGCATTTCCTGAGGTTAGATAGATAGATTGATTGTGAATATTTATACCCTCCATCTCCTCCTAGGAGCCTCAGTGTGGCATTCATGGTTCTCCTCCCTCCCTGTTTTATCCTCACAACTGTAGGGATGTTTATAGATGCTAGGAGAGGGTACATTTAGTAGATATTATCCTTCCTTGTGAGTTCAGCAGTGCATCCCTTTGCAGCTTAAAAAGGGAAGCTTTGGTAGGCTAGTTTTAGCCTTTTCGTTTAAGTAATCCAGGTTGCTTTAAGGCTCACCAGATTCTCCCGATATTTTCCCCTTCCCCCCCTCCCTGAAAACAATAATCACACAGACAACCTTGCAAAAAGTAACAATAATATTTATTCACTCAGAATACTGGTTGAAGAGTAACAGATGCAGCAACTTCATTCAGGCAGGCTTAAAAGGACAATCCAGTTACAAAGGCATACTTTAGTAAAGGTAAAGGTACCCCTGCCCATACGGGCCAGTCTTGCCAGACTCTAGGGTTGTGCGCCCATCTCACTCAAGAAGCCAGGGGCCAGCGCTGTCTGGAGACACTTCCGGGTCACGTGGCCAGCGTGACAAAGCCGCATCTGGCGACGGAAACGCCGTTTACCTTCCCGCTTGTAAGCAGTCCCTATTTATCTACTTGCACCCGGGGGTGCTTTCGAACTGCTAGGTTGGCAGGCACTGGGACCGAACGACGGGAGCGCACCCCGCCGCAGGGATTAGAACCGCCGACCTTTCGATCGGTTAGCCCTAGGCGCTGAGGCTTTTACCCACAGCGCCACCTGCATCCCATTAAGGCATACTTTAGTCCAGTTTAAAATGGAGTCTGAGCTATGGAGCAATGGCGCTCAGAAATGCGTTGTCCTATCAACTTTAGATGGCTTCGAAAGAGAATTAGACCAATCCATGGAGGAGAGGGCTGCCATGTTGGAATATTCTAGAAGAAACTTGGAAACGGTCTTGAACAAGTTGCTAGGCGGCGGAAAATTTCCCCAGCAACAGGTGTCCTTATTAGGGCATGTGGTCGACTAAGTCTGGGTCAGTGTAAATGAGCATGTGAATGAGTCAGCATTAGGTCTCTCTGGCCTGGATGAGCTAAAAGAGGAAAAAATTATGTTGCGTTATTTGTTTATTTATTTAGGACCAGTGTAAAGTTTTGTAAATACTGTATTTTTCTGTGTATAAGACTAGGTTTTCCCCCTAAGAAATAATGTACAAAATTTGGGGGCATCTTATACACGGGAGCTATCTCCCCCCATTTTCTTAAATTGGGAGTCGTTGTCCCCCCCCAAAAAAAAAATAGGGGACATCTTATACACGGGGGCATCTTATAGATGGGAAAATACGGTAATAAAGACTCTAAGAAGCAGAGCCAAATTGTGTGTATTCCTATAGCGGGAATTTCACTAAGAGATAGCTGGGATGCTGCTGATGTTGTAAAGAAGTAAAAGATCCAGGAAGGCTTTTCTGTAAAAGGAATTCTGCTGCAGAAAGAAATGGAAACCCAAGATTAGATGCTCACACACCAACATACCAGTGGCTACAGTGCTGGATTTATGTATAAACTAAACAAGCTATAGTTTAGGGCTCCACACCCTTGGAGGCCCCCAAAAAATTTAAAGGAAAAACCACTCGATGTACATTTCCAAAATTTAAGATAAAAGACAAATAAAATAAAACCTACATACAATAACAGTGTTTGTGTATTGTGTAGGCTCCTATGATGTAAGTCATGGGCCCCGCCTGCTGCCCTGCTCCCTAAAATATCACTGGTTTACTCATTTCTATATATAGGATACCTACATTCTGCATGTGCAAATGGCTTTAGATACCTATTAGGTCCATAAATTACCATATAGCATATAAAAGGTAAAGGGTAAAGGGACCCCTGATCATTAGGTCCAGTCGTGGCCGACTCTGGGGTTGCGGTGCTCATCTCGCTTTATTGGCCAAGGGATGCGGCGTACAGCTTCCGGGTCATGTGGCCAGCATGACTAAGCCGCTTCTGGCGAACCAGAGCAGCGCGCGGAAATGCCGCTTACCTTCCCTCCAGAGCGGTACCTATTTATCTACTTTCACTTTGATGTGCTTTCGAACTGCTAGGTTGGCAGGAGCAGGGACCGAGCAACGGGAGCTCACCCCGTCACAGGGATTTGAACCGCTGACCTTCTGATCAGCAAGTCCTAGGCTCTGCGGTTTAACCCACAGCACCACCCGCGTCCCTATTCAAGACAAAAAACAGCGACAATTTGTTGTTGACAAAGGACAGCTGGACATATAAAGGGCCCCATTACCTTCAGTAGCTTAGGGCCGCATCAAACCTAAATGCGGCCCTGAGTGGCTACTAGCCATGACAGCTATGATCTGCCTCCATTTTGGACGCAGCAATGCTTCTGTATGCTAGTTGCTGGAAACCACAGGAGGGGAGAGTGTTGTTGTACCCCCATCCTACTTGTGGGTTTTGCCCAGGAATTTGGTGGCCCCTGTGAGAACAGGATGCTGGTCCAGATGGGTCTTGGGCCTTTTCCACCAAGGATCTTCTTACATTTGCACCTTCACTTGATAACAAGTTTCCAGGAAGCGGAAGCCAAGGCGTTTCTGTTCAGAAACTTTCTTGGAAGCGCCAGGCTGATCTGAAGCCATCGCACCTGCAGAAATTAGAGTAAGCAGCTCCTGGAATCCATTGGCAGTTCCTGAAACGAGGACTTCAGGGAACTGCCACGCTCGTTGAGTGTTTCCTTGCCAGGCTGCCGTTTGTGTTGTTCTGCTCCAGAGTCTTGCTATCAAGAATATTGGCCAGCAGGTATGCTTCTCTGAAGGCAGCTCCTATTGCAAAAAAAGGAGAGGATTCATTTTGTCAGTTATCACAGAGACGAGTTAAGAGGCTCGCTACATTATTGCATCAGTAACAGTGTCCCAAATAAAGTCATACCTCGTGTTGCATTCCGCTCTTGTTACGGGTGCAGGTCCAATGAGGGCTTAATAATAATATATATTATAATAATAATTTATTATTTATACCCCGCCCATCTGGCTGGGTTTTCGCAGCCACTCTGGGCAGCTTCCAACAAAACACTAAAATACAATAACCTATTAAACGTTGGGACGCGGGTGGCGCTGTGGGTTAAAGCCTCAGCGCCTAGGACTTGCCAATCGAAAGGTCGGCAGTTCGAATCCCAGCGGCGGGGTGCGCTCCCATCGTTCGGTCCCAGCGCCTGCCAACCTAGTAGTTCGAATGCACCTTCGGGTGCAAGTAGACAAATAGGGACCGCTTACCAGCGGGAAGGTAAACGGCGTTCCGTGTGCTGCGCTGGCTCGCCAGATGCAGCTTGTCACGCTGGCCACGTGACCCGGAAGTGTCTGCGGACAGCGCTGGCTCCCGGCCTCTAGAGTGAGATGAGCGCACAACCCTAGAGTCTGGCAAGACTGGCCCGTACGGGCAGGGGTACCTTTACCTTTACCTATTAAACGTTAAAAGCTTCCCTAAACAGGGCTGCCTTCAGATGTCTTCTAAAAGTTTGGTAGTTATTTTTCTCTTTGACATCTGGTGGGAGGGCGTTCCACAGGGCAGGTGCCACTACCGAGAAGGCCCTCTGCTTGGTTCCCTGTAACTTGGCTTCTTGCAGCGAGGGAACTGCCAGAAGGCCCTCAGCACTGGACCTCAGTGTCCGGGCAGAACGATGGGGGTGGAGACGCTCCTTCAGGTATACTGGACTGAGGCCGTTTAGGGCTTTAAAGGTCAGCACCAACACTTTGAACTGCAAACTCCCAGGAGCCACACAGGGTGGCGCTGTGGGTTAAACCACAGAGCCCAGGACTTGCCGATCAGAAGGTCGGCAGTTCGAATCCCTGCAACGGAGTGAGCTCCCGTTGCTCGGTCCCTGCTCCTGCCAACCTAGCAGTTTGAAAGCACGTCACAAAGCAAGTAGATAAATAGGTACCGCTCCGGCGGGAAGGTAAACGGTGTTTCCATGCACTGCTCTGGTTCGCGAGAAGCGGCTTAGTCATGCTGGCCACATGACCCGGAAGCTGTACACCGGCTCCCTCGGCCAATAAAGCGAGATGAGCGCCGCAGCCCAAGAGTCGGCCACGACTGGACCTAATGGTCAGGGGTCCCTTTACCTTAGGAGCCGCACAGAGGGACCTAGAGGGCTGTATCCAGCTCCTTAGCCATGGTTTGAGCATCACGGTTGCCTCTGAGCCCCAATCCCCGTGAACCTTTTCTGACAGCTTCAGTGCTACACTATTCTGGCCCCTCTGTCTTCTCTTACGCCCTGCTGAACATTTGCGGCTTCCTCTCATTTCCAATTCAAGATGTCCCTGCTCCAAGGAGCTCTGATTAAATCAGCATATGGAAAGATGTCCCCAATCAGGGCAGCGTCATAACGGATGCGAATGCCACTCTCTTAGCAGAGCTCATCAGGAACTCTGCAAGTCTAACTAGACCAGCATTAGATATTCATCAGCCAAGCACCTTTACAAATTAAGTAGTGCTGGTGGAAGGAAGTTGTCCTCAGTTAATCCTCAGAACTACAAATAATTCAGCCAGAAACAGAACAGAGGCGCATTCTCAGCCCCAGATCTGCCAGAATGACAGAAGAGAGGTGTTTTATGAAGGAGGGCTGGAGTCCGTTGACCGCAAGTAGCAAGAGATGGCGGAAGAATAGAATCATAGAACTGTAGAGCTGGAAGGGACCACAAGGGACATCTAGTCCAACCCCCTGCTATGCAGGAATCTTTTGCCCAGTGTGGTGCTCAAACCCATGACCTGAGATTAAGGCGTCCTAGGCTCTACCGACTGAGCTAAACGCAAAATATTGTGAAGTCACAACGCAAAGTACATTCATGGATGAGGAGCTAAATGTGTAGCTGCCATTTTTCCGACACCCTTCCACATCCAGCATTAACTTGCAGTTAGTCTGTTGTTTTTATAGGACTCTTAGATACAATATTGTACCTCTGGGTGTAATAAGAGCATGAAAACTATATATATATATCAGCTCCCTTCCCCGAAGAGCTTACAGTTGGCACCACTCCCCATCAAATGTTTTCTGTCTGGCATGACCTCATGATCTAGCTCTCCATCTTTGGGGGACTGAGACCATGGACTGAGAGGAGCTGCGCGCTCGGTGGAAGAGGACGACCATCCCAGATAGAAGGAGTGTACCGTTCTTCGGTCAAAGGGTATACGATAGCTGCGCTCCCCTGCTAGAACCTCCAAACATTAGGAAGAACTTTCTGACAGCAAGTTCTGTTTGACAGTGGAACGAACTCCATCGGAAGGTGGCGGACTCTCCTTCCTTGGAGGTTTAGAAGCAGAGGTTGGATGGCCACCTCTCATGGATGCTTCAGCTGAGATTCCTCCACTGCAGGGGGTTGGACTAGATAACTTACAGGGTCCCTACCATCTCTATGAACCTGGATGTGGTTTCTCACTGAGGATGGTGCCAACCCCCCTGGTGGAGTTGCAGTTCTTCTTAAGGCTCAGTCTGGGATTGCTTCTAGTTGGGGTGAGGTGTTCTGGGGCCAGACCTAAAGGCAGGTCTCTCTCTTATAGAGCCAGTGTGATGTAGTGGTTAAGAGCGGTAGACTTGTAATCTGGTGAACCGGGTTCGCTTCCTCGCTCCTCCACATGCAGCTGCAGGGTGACCCTGGGCTAGTCACACTTTTCTGAAGTGTCTCAGCCTCACTCACCTCACAGAATGTGGGGGAGGAAGGGAAAGGAGATTGTTAACTGCTTTGAGACTCCTTAGGGTAGTGATAAAGCAGGATATCAAATCCAAAATCGTCATCTTCTTCTTCTTCCACTCTGACTCTCTGGCCGCATCCCTTGCAGAAGGGGAATCTTTGTGGGAATGTTGTGGATAGTAGGAGAGGATATATTGATTACCGTATCTTTCGCTCTATAGGACGCACTTTTTCCCCTCCAAAAATGAAGGGGGAAAGTGTGTGTCTCCTATGGAGCGAATGCAGGCTTTCCATGAAGCCTGGAGAGTGAGAGGGGTCGGTGCGCACCGACCCCTCTCACTCTCCAAGCTTCAGGAAGCTATCCGCAAGCCTGCGGAGCCCAGTGGGAGTTCCTGCCAGGCCCTGCAGGCTTGTGGACAGCTGCCTGCTGTCCGAAGTCCCGGGAGCACGTTGCTGCGCACCCTGGGCTTCGGGCAGCTCTCCGCAAGCCTGGGCATGCAGTTAAGTTCTAGATCTTCAGGTCTTCCTCCATCCTGTGCGCCCATCTCTCTCTGTTCTTCTCCCTCCTGCCAGGAGACTTGCAAAATCCACCTTACTGCTGATCCCGCTCTTCGGCATCCACTACACCATCTTCGCCCTCTTCCCCGACAAATCAAAGCTGCTGGAGATGAAGCTGGTCTTTGAACTTGTGCTGGGATCCTTTCAGGTAAGCCACTTCCCCCTGCTGCAAGGCTGGATCTCACAGGAACGATGGCAATTTCATTCATACTCCACATCTGTCCCCACCTGGACATCGGTGAGCTCCAAGGGTGCCTTTGGCTGTTTCCTGCACCTCCTCCTTCTGCTTAGTGTGGCCTCAGTGTGGGACAGTGGCTTTCCAATGTCCTTATCACCTTACTGTCTGCCACAGAACCATGACGCATTGCAGGGGATTCTGGGGCACAGTCTTAAGAAAGGCCTGTCTGGTCTAGCGACGCACTTACCATAGTGGTCAACCAAATGCCCGTTATGGGAAACCATTTCCAGTGGGGCCCCCGAGACCAGTCTCTTGCAACTGTGAATTGGGGAAGAAGATGGTTAGCAGGATTGGTGATATGCGGAAGTGAGAATTTTTTGCATTATTTTCATGGAGGGGAATTTTTCACCATGTCTCTTGTGGAAGAGATCTCACAATTAGCAACAAAATAGCTTCTTCTTTATTCTAAGATATATATTTTTACTGCATCTGCATCAGCAGTTGTGATCCTGGCCGCCATTTTGTATCTCCCACAATGCCATAGCTGTCAACTTACAGATTTGAAAGTAAGGGATCAGCAGCCTCGAAAATAAGGGATCAGCAGCCAAAATAAGGGATCAACAATTACTTTGATAAAATACATATTTTGTTGCGTGCAAATGGCTTTAGATACCTATTAGGTCCATAAATTACCATATAGCATATATTCAACACACAAAAAAGCAACAATTTGTTTTTGACAAAGCACAGCTAGACATAGAAAGGGCTCCATTACCTTCAGTAGCTTATTTAAGGGACATCATCAATAAGGGACAGCAGCGGGACATGGCGCTGGGATAAGGGACTGTCCCGCCAAATAAGGGACACTTGACAGCTATGCACAATGCCCAAGATTGGATGTCTTTGTGGGTATTGCTGGGGTGATCCAGTAGCGATCCACTTAGAAAACTCCTGTTTGTGCTTATATTAAGCAAGAGATTCTGCTCTGTTCTTGACATGAAACTTTGACTTTTTTTGCTCTTTCTCTCTTGTCTGGGAAGAGTTTGAACGGAATGTTCCATTGGGGTTGATACACTCTTCCCTAACCTTTGGGATCTGGGAGTGAGGCTACACATTTAAATATGTCCCTAAAACAAAGGCAATGAAATAAAAATCTATGTTGTCTCTTCTTTTCTTTTCCCCCTTCCCCCTTTTCTAGGGCTTTGTGGTGGCTGTCTTGTATTGCTTCCTCAATGGAGAGGTAAGATCAGCCATGATATTTGCAAAGGGAACAAGCATTACTGGGGCTGCCAAGCGATTAAATAACGTTTAGTTCATTAATGACCTGCCTTTTTGCTGCTCCAACTAATTCATCAATCAAATTTAATTGAATTTGCTCCTTATTCTTGCACCGTAATGCATAATGCAGAGCTTAACAAATTATGACGCATCGTTTAACAATGGAAAAATAAGTATTTCTCAGATGTTGGAACGAAATATACATGAGGGCCAAAACCAAACTGAGGTCAGATATTCATCACTACAAGGGAATCCCCACCCCCAAAGAGCCGCTGAGACAAGTTGCAATGGCTCTCCAAACCTCTGAGGACTTTTAATAATTACTGCTGTCTTTTGATATGTGGTTCCTTTAAGAAATTTTAGTTTCACAGAACAAGGAACGTAGGCAGAATGAGAGCAACATTGCCGTTGTTTCGTAAAAGCGCCTAGAATTTACTGGATGCTATACACAGATTTAAAACGAAACAAGCCCATGCCTGTAGATTTATGATCTAAAAGGCACAGCACAGAAGGAAAAGGGGAGGAGGAGGGAAGAGGAAAATAAGCAAACCCAGGCAGCAGTTCTTAAAGTCACATGAGGCCTATTGTGTGTTCACTCCCAAGATTAAGAATTGCATGATGGAGAAGGAGGAGCTGCACCTGCTGGCCTCTGACCTCCATACATTGGGGAGGCCTTCAATAGATAGATATTTCTGCTAAATGCACACAGAGGCTCCCAATTGTGAACTGGAACTCAGGCCAGCTATTCATTCAGGGTTCTATACGTTAGAGGAGACTTACCTGCATACATCAGGTTCCCCTCTACTGACGTTCCTCCTAATACATGGATATGGAGATGTTCAGTGGGGCAGGGCTGTCAGATGCTGCCCCAGCTTACCCCCTGTGCAATTATTATTATTATTATTATTATTATTATTATTATTATTACCCCGCCCATCTGGCAGAGTTTCCCCAGTCACTCTCAGCGTCTCCCAATAGAATATTAACATGATAAAACATCAAACATTAAAAACTTCCCTAACCAGGGCTGCCTTCAAATGTCTTCTAAAAGTCAGATACAGTGGTACCTCGGGTTACAGACGCTTCGGGTTACAGTTGCTTCAGGTTACAGACTCCACTAACCCAGAAATAGTACCTCAGGTTAAGAACTTTGCTTCAGGATGAGAACAGAAATCACGCGGCGGTAGCGGGAGGCTCCATTAGTGGTGCTTCAGGTTAAGAACAGTTTCAGGTTAAACAGACCTCCAGAACAAATTAAGTTCTTAACTTGAAGTACCACTATAGTTGTTTATTTCCTTGACATCTGATGGAAGGGCATTCCACAGGGCAGGCGCCAGTACTGAGAAGGCCCTCTGCCTGGTTCTGCCTTGAGAGAACCGCCAGAAGGCCCTCGGTGCTAGACCTCAGTGTCTGGGCTGAAATATGGGGTTAAGACGCTCCTTCAGGTATACTGGGCTGAGGCCGTTTAGGGCTTTAAAGGTCAGCACCAACACTTTGAATTGTGCTCAGAAACGTACTGGGAGCCAATGTAGGTCTTTCAGGACCGGTGTTATATGGTCTCGGCGGCCGCTCCCAGTCACCTGTCTAGCTGCCGCATTCTGGATTAATTGTAGTTTCTGAGTCACATTCAAAGGTAGCCCCACGTAGAGCATATTGCAGTAGTCCAACCAGGAGATAACCAGAGCATGTGCCACTCTGGCGAGACAGTCTGTGGGCAGGTAGGGTCTCAGCCACGTACCAGATGGAGCTGGTAAACAGCTGCCCTGGACACAGAATTGACCTGCGCCTCCATGGACAGCTGTGAGTCCAAAATGACTCCCAGGCTGCGCACCTGGTCCTTCAGGGGCACAGTTACCCCATTCAGGACCAGGGAGTCCTCTGCTGGAATTCCTGCTCCGTGACTGCAGTCATGGGATTTTTGTCTATCACATGACGGTGTATGTTTTGACTCCACAGAGTGGGAAGTGACGGAGACAGGATGTTTGTGTTACTGTGTTCCGTGAAGTGGGACTATTGTCCTTTGTCCTTTTTCTCTTTGCTGTCTGGTGCTAGAGAGAGAGGGAGCCATGTTGCAGTGCTCTGTGTGTGGAGATTAGCCAAAATGCTGAGTTGCTGAGGTCTGTTACGCAAGCTGCGAAGACTCTGTGGATCCCTAAGTGTGCCGGTGTCTGTTGGCATCGGTCGCTGTGATGTTCGGGCAGAAGAGAGCTTTTGAAGCTCCCGAACGATCGACCAGGAGGGAGAGACATGCCAGTCGGGCATGTGTCTCTGCCAGGGTCCTACTCGAGAGTAGGACGAGCCCCTGACATCCTCCACACCTGCCTGCCCCCTGTCCCCCCAAAACAGTACTTCAATTCTTAACTGTTTGAGTGAATACCCCAACAGGGTCTTGAATGGAAACTGTTCAGAAGAGGGGGTGAGCCACATGGCAGCTGCTCCCTCAACTGAACTGTTAGGTTGGGCACTGCTATGCCATTTCCCCTTCTGCTTCAAAAAATCCTTTGGGTATTTTAAACCCCCTCTCTTAATGAATACTCTCCATCATTGAGCAAGTTCCCCTGCCTTTACTCCATGGCTTAAGAGGTCTCCACTTCTATCCTGCCCTTTGCCTGAAGGCCCCAGGGCAAGTTACGGCAATAGGCAAATAAAAGAATCAATAATAAAAGAGAGATTTAGAACCAGCAAATAAAAGAGAGATTTAAAACCAGCAAAATAATAGTTTTTTTAAAAAAAGAAATACCTGTCAGTTTTCTGCAGTCTACATTTGAAAGCCTGGCAGAAGACTGCAGAAAACTAATAGGTATTCTTTAAAAAAAAAAAAACACTATTATTTTGCTGGTTTTAAATCTCTCTTTTATTATTGATGGTTTTATTTACCTATTGCTGTAACTTGCCCTGGAGCCTTCAGACGGAGGGCAGGATATATTTAGAAGGGAGGAAAGAAGGAAAGTAAGTAATGTAGAAAAAGAAAGAAGAAAAGGGTGTGGGGGGATGAAAAAGTAATAAAGAAAAAAAGAGGGAATGAGAGAGGGGGGAGAGAGGAAGGAAGGAAGGAAGGAAGGAAGGAAGGAAGGAAGGAAGGAAGGGCTGGAGATTTAGAGAAAGACAGATATTTTGGGTGGTGAAATGCAATTTGTGGTAAGCAGAATTCACATGGCTGCAAAATGCAGCAAGGATTTCCATCATCCCCATGATGAATGCAATTACAGTCGTACCTTGGAGGTCGAATGGAATCCGTTCCAGAAGTCCATTCGACTTCCAAAACATTCGGAAACCAAAGCGCAGCTTCTGATTGTCTGCAGGAAGCTCCTGCAGTCGTTCAGAAACCCCATCGGACATTTGGCTTCCAAAAATAGTTCGCAAACCACATAAGTGGAAGGACTTGCAAGTACTAAATTGGCTTAGGATTTAAGTATGTTGAATTGTATAATACTAGGGATTGAGATTACGATGTAAAGAAAGGAAGTTAGTAATTTGAACTAGTTAATTATATTAGAAAGTGAATATTGGGAAATTGCTAAAATGAGATTTAATGAAAATCAGTTAGGAAGGATTCGAGGAAGTCATTTAATAATGGAAATTAATTTGGATGGGAAGAAATCTTATATGTTTGTTCTTTTTATATGTTTTGTTTTTTGTGTTGTGTTGTATTTGTTATAAATTTGGAAAATTAATAAAAAAAATTGGGGGGAGGGAATAGTTCACAAACCGGAACAGTCACTTCCTGGTTTGTGGCGTTCGGGAGCCAAAACGTTCAAGAACTAAGCTGTTCGAAAACCAAGGTACGGCTGTATTTGTTTTATCAATTGCATTTATATCCCACCTTTTTCTCCAAGGAGCTCAAGGAACAACAACCCTGTGAGGTAGGGTCAGCTGAGAGGCAGCGACTGGCCCCCAAGGTCACCCAGTGATCTTCATGGGTGATTGGGGACTCGAACCCTGGTCTTCCAAGTCCTGGTCCAGCCCTTGACCCGCCACACCACCCTGGCTCTCAGCCTAGAAGAGCTCCACTGTAGCCTTTCAGACCTTTCCCATTGGTTGGGTCTGCGTTGCTCCTGGAAGGGAGGAAGGAGTCAATCAGACACCGAGGTTGGGTCAGAGAAAGAGTTTATTATTTCTGCTTTCTGGAGCAGCAGAAAGGCACTGCGTGATCAGTTCACAGCAAGCACCCTGAAAGAGAAGTTACATACAGTATATATCCCCTTTAGGCCCCCCCTTTTCCCCCCTCCCCAGGAATCCAGCCTCGTCAGTTTGTACATGTAAGTTGACATCCTTGAGCATAAACAGATATTCCTGTTCCTGTGTGCTTATCTTGGGGCAAGAAGGTCACCCAACTATAGGGGTACTCCTGGCGCTGTCTCCGGGAGCGGGGGCTGACAGCTTGTCTTGCAAGGTCTGTGCTGTCAGAGTGGTCAGGATATTACAACCTACAAGATAAGCCCCAGATCTGCCATCCCGTCTCCACTCGGAACTGACAAGGCCATCCATCATTAAGCCTTCATGGACTGATAAAGGAGACGGCTTTGTTTGCACAGCTGGGTCCTGTTTTATACAGCTCAAGTTAATGGATTTTAGCTAATGGATCCTTGAAGAAGGAATTTGGGAGTTATTGGGGCCTGGTTCAGGTAGCTGCACATTCAGGTTTGGGTAACCTGTCCCTTCACCACAAAGCACACCCACAAATCCAGAAGACCTCCTTCTTTCTCCCTTCCCCAGTTAATCTGCCCTCTCCCTTTCCTTGCTCCCTTCTTTAGGTCCAAGCCGAGCTGAAGCGGAAGTGGCGAAGGTGGCACATGGAGAGGTTCCTGGGCTCCGACATGAAATATCACCACCCCTCCATGGGCAGCAACGGGACCAACTTCAGCACCCAAATCTCCATGCTGACCAAGTGCAGCCCCAAGAGCAGGCGCTGCTCCAGCTTCCAAGCCGACTTGTCTCTGGTTTGAGACCCGGACGGGAATGACCGAGGGACCAAATGGGTGGGACACAAAGCAATGGGAGAGGAAAGATGACACCAGCCAGGACTTTGGATTAAGGGTGACAGGTGTGAAGTTGTGTGTGTGCATTATTTTTTTAAAGACAGGACATTCTTCTGTCAACCAAAGCAGGACAAAACACTGGAATAGCGGAAGGATGAGAAGAGGCCTGGTTGGGTGGTGGAGTCTCCCTTTGGTTCTTCTCAAGTCTTTAAGTTCTGAGTGTTGTTGGAGCGCTTGTGAATGCAGCGGAATTGCAGTGCATGGTGGATAAGAGAGAGCCCGCCTTTGCAGCTCTCAACCAACAGATGCAGAATGAGCCAATGGGGGGGGAGCAGGTGTTGTGACCTCATCTGCCAAGATCTTTCGTGGGAGAGAAGGAATCATTTGATCAGAGAGGGAGAGAAGGAATCATTTGATCAGAGAGGTGCTCCCTGGACATGACGCAGCCGACTAAGCCTCTCTCTCTCCGGCTAAACTTCAGAAGCCAGAAGACCATCTCAACTCCAGAGACAGCATGGGATCATCCTGAATGCTCTGTTGGTTATATATCTGAAGCTTTAACTGGGTCCCCAAAGGCACTCCTGGAAAAGGTTGTCTTCTATTCTGTTTGGGGGAGGAAACCATCGGTCCAGGAAGTGCCATAATTGACAACTCTGATGGGCAGAAACTCTTCAGGGTCTCAGCAAGAGGCTCTCTGGCCTCTGCTGCCTAGGGGCACTTTCAACTGGAGATACCAGGAATTGATTTTCTGCATGCAGAGCACATGTGCTCCCAGTAAGCTGTGGCCCCTCCTGAAGTGACAAGCAGTGGTTTACACACTGCTTTTGAATCAGCTACATCTCATGCCCTCTCTCCCCACCTTCAACCATCAAGCAATCCCTCCCATCAAAAAAAGAAAGGAGAGATGTTCCATTTCGTGGTGTTGGGAGCATCTGCTGGTTGGAGGAAAGACGATTCACCAGGTTCTTTGACCTGGGATGGGTGAATAATATGCCCTTCCTAACTAGGCTTGCCCTTTCCAGGCTGGGTGGTGACATCCCCAGGGGGTCTTCTGAGCAGCTTGGACAGGGAGACTCCACTGCCAGGGTCTGTTGACGCTTACCCAGATGCTACAAGCTGGTGGAAGGACCTCTGTTTGCATGTCACCTCCATTGTTGATATTGCAAACTCTGTGGATTCTGAAAAGGACAGAAAGCGTGCAAGGGGGAATGAGACTTGTGCGCTCTTGATAACTCATGGACTCTCAGTTCGGGAGCCTGTTATGCGTATGGTTCAGATGGAAAGCAGGGAGAGGACCAACTTGTTTGATGATCATCCTGCCCTTGGCTGCTTCCCCTTGAGGTGCCAGAGTTCTTAATTCCGCCCTCTTGTAAATATTCCGGAACTTTCTGGGCCTGCTCTTCAGAGAGCAGCACAGACTGTGTGTGCGCAGAAGCCCTCCCTCTTTCCACCAACGACCATTTCTCAGTGTGACGATTCTCACCATCTCCTCTTGGCCAGTGCAGACACGGAGCCTGCTTTGTTCCTGACGAACTTTGACTGCGTGTTATTTATTTCGCCAGACTTGGAACTGTAAATAGTTTGGATCCTTAGCCTTTCAATGGTTCATCTTGAAGGTGTCTCTTCTTTTCCATTTCAAAATGGTGGGGGTGGGGAGGGAGGAGGAATCTCTTCATTTGTGGCTGCCATTGCATTGAGGAAATAATAAACCGGTAAGGGGGGGGAAGTGCTGTGCTTAAACTCTACTTATAGGAAAGTGGGAACCAGACTCTTCCCAGTACTGTGGTACCTCGGGTTACAAACGCTTCAGGTTACAGACGCTTCAGGTTACAGACTCCCCTAACCCAGAAATAGTACCTCAGGTTAAGAACTTTGCTTCAGGATGAGAACAGAAATTGGGCTCCGGCGGCAGCAGAAGGCCCCATTAGCTAAAGTGGTACCTCAGGTTAAGAACAGTTTCAGGTTAAGAATGGACCTCCGGAACGAATTAAGTTCTTAACCCAAGGTACCACTGTATGGCAACTGCAAAGCATTTATGCACTCCTAGCCGCCTCATGCCTTGCTGAGGAATTCCAAGAAAGTAAAAAAATCGGTATGACTTTGAAAGATTCGCTCCACCATCTTGATTCAAAATGGCGCCCAGCTCACTTCCCCATCTATGGGAAATGAGAGGAGAGCCTTCTGTTGATAGACGAAGAGCAGGAATGGGGGGGTTCAGCCTGGGGGGCAATTTAATTTCATGGGCGGCCTTCCAGGGTGGGTAGAGTAGGTGGAACAACTGGCATGATTCCTAGCTTTGTACAGTAATAGGCAGGAGCTTCAACATACACCTGGACCCATCGCTCTGTCCTTTACACCACCCAGGCAAGCAAGGTACCCTATCACTGCCCAAGGACACATTCAGGCATGCCAAAAGCACAGGGGGAGGTGGAAGAACTGGACCAGTTTGAGGTGTGGACTGGGGATAGGAGATGCAGACTGGAAAGAGTCCCATGGGCCAGAGAAGGAGAACTGGAGGGCCACATTACACCCCTCGCCAGCCCCGAGGCTCCCCACCTCAGCCCTAGCTCATCACTAGATGCTTAGGGGGGGAAATCAACTCATCATTTAAGAAAACAAAGAGAGCTTCCACAAGTTGTTTATAGGGGAGTCAGAAATAAATCCCATTTGAATGGCGCAGTCCCTAGAGTGGCTGTAGCTGGGCTGTGTTGTTTTCAAAAGAAAAATAATTATTATTTTATTTTATTATTTTTTAATAACTTTTTATTAGAAATTTTATTTACAACATAAACCCCCCACCCGCCCCCAATACAGAAATCCACCCTCATTAAACGTGAACATAACATACAATAAGCATAATGTACAACAAGACAAACAACCAAATAGAAGACTATAAAAGTTATAATCAGAAAAATCTTAATAATTATTCATAAAGGAAACAGCTTAGAAGAAGTAAATATGGAGGCCAGATACAGGATAAAGGAAGTCAAAAGACTAACCCTTTGCCTGATTAAGAATTTATACCAAGGGGCCCAGTTTCCAAGGCACTAAAGTCAATAAAATCCAAGAAAAGAAACAAGGATCACCTTCTGCAGATGAACAGGTGGCAGCTGCCTCCGCTTGCTTTGGTAAATCTCCTTTTGCTACTAACCAATGGAGCTGGAAGTTCATGCCTGGCAGTGAAAACAGTTGTGATGGCCTGGGAATCTGATTCAGAGGCTGAACCTGAGGAATCCCAGCCTGCACAGGAGTCCCCGCCTCCAGGGCCGGCTGAGCTGGGGCAGGGCCATGAATCTGAAGGGCCCCCACCTGTGCTGGATCCTCAGGAGCAGACACCAGCTGAATCCACTCTGGCTCCGTAGGTGATGGAGGACCCATTGCCTGCAGGTGCTCCTCTCCCAGCCCTGTCAGGGGAAGGTGAGGTTGCCTCTGAGTCCTGTAACCCTCCAGCCTCTCCTGAGCTGCAGAAGCTCAGGGCAGAGAGGCGGAGGGAACTAAGTTCCTGCAGGAGCAGTGCTCGCCTTAAGGCCAGGAGAGGCGGGTCACCTGTGGACCAGGGCCGCCCTATGCCTCGGGGCAGATAAAAGCCAGCCAGCCCCAGTCCCAGGTTGCGGGAGCAACATCGTTGGTAACCTGTTCCTGCCTGCACCCTGACCTGCTCTTCTGGAGTTCCCGACCATGCCCGGCTCCTTGCCTTGGACCCCGCTTCGCCCCTGACGGTCAGCCTCCAGACCTTTGACCCAGGACCGGACTCAGACCACGCTACACGGTAACACACACACACACACACCCGGGACCAGCACAACAGCCTACCTCAAGGCTGTGGCAAAACTCTCTTTTTTCGGTCCCATTGGGCCTTGGCTAAATCACAACAGAGGGCGATGGACACGGCCTCTCCTACAGGACCCACACAAATAAGAAGAGCCTTCTGGATCAGGCCAATAGCCCATCTAGTCCAGCATCCTGTTCTCACAGGAGCCAACCACAAGCAAGAGAGCAGGATTCAAGCACAAGAGCAGCATTCTCCCACCTGGTTTTCCGGCAGCTGGTACTCAGAGCCATTGCCGCCTCCGTCCATTCAGCAATTAAAAACAGACGTCGTAAAATGAAATTGCATCTCCCAAATACATGTCAGCTTTATGTATCTGGGGAGGCAAACAAGGAAACAGATTTAGCAGCTGCCGAAAACAGCTCAGGGAAGGTGCCTGCCTAAAATCAATGGGCAGGGAGTTCCAAAGACCACAGTTACTATCATTCCAACCTTCTACTCAATTCACCCAACTCCCACATCACTTGTGATCCTTTATTTTAGAATTCCACATGGAAGTTTGCCTGAGTTTCCCTGCCATTTTTCAGAATTCGTTCATGCATGTTAGGTGGTGTTGTTTAGTCGTGTCCGACTCTTGGTGACCCCATGGACCAGAGCACGCCAGGCACTCCTGTCTTCCACTGCCTCCCGCAGTTTGGTCAAACTCATGCTGGTAGCTTCCAGAACACTGTCCAACCATCTCGTCCTCCGTCGTCCCCTTCTGCTTGTGCCCTCCATCTTTCCCAACATCAGGGTCTTTTCCAGGGAGTCTTCTCTTCTCATGAGGTGGCCAAAGTATTAGAGCCTCAGCTTCAGGATCTGTCCTTCCAGTGAGCACTCAGGGCTGATTTCTTTAAGAATGGAGAGGTTTGATCTTCCTGCAGTCCATGGGACTCTCAAGAGTCTCCTCCAGCACCAGAATTCAAAAGCATCAATTCTTCAGCGATCAGCCTTCTTTATGGTCCAGCTCTCACTTCCATACATCACTACTGGGAAAACCATGGCTTTTACTATACAGACCTTGTTAGGTAGGTTCACCTGAAATGCAAAGTGAACTAATTCATCCCCTCCCTGCCAGATGGAACAGCGGTGGCTCGTCTCGTTTTGCCACCTGAGGCAAGATGGGAATGGCTGTCTCCTCCCTTCCCTTCCCTTCCCTTCCCTTCCCGTACCCCAACCCACTCAGTACCACTTCCACAGCTGGAACACCCCGGCTCTTGCCGAAATTGGCAGGACCTGGGGCATTCTGCAAAGTGTTGCTGCTTGGAAGCCGAGGGTCAAAGCCATGCTCCGAACCACCTTCCTCTCAGCAGCAAGAGGGAGTTCCGCTGGCAGTGGGGCTGATTCTGACAGGCAAACCTAGAGGACTGCTCTCTAATGTCCTGCAAACATCCTCTCCGATGCCTCCTGCTATAGCAGGCATAAGTCCGTTTCGGGGGCTGGTTTTGACCTTTAAAGCCCTTTGCGGCCTAGGACCCACGTACTAAGGACCACCTCTCCTGGTATGCCCCGCGGAGGACCTTGAGGTCCACAAATAACAACACTTTGGAGGTCCCGAGCCACAAGGTGGTTAGATTGGTCTCAACTAGGGCCAGGGCCTTTTCAGTACTGGCCCCGACTTGGTGGAACGCTCTATCACAGGAGACCAGGGCCCTGCGGGACTTGACATCTTTCCGCAGGCCCTGCAAGACAGAGCTGTTCTGCCTGGCCTTTGGTTTAGACTCAGTCTGACCCTTATGTTTCCTTCCCCTTATGGTCTTGATGAGGCTGCATTTTAAATTGTATTTTAACCTGTATTTTAAATTGGTTTCCCCCCCTTATGTTTTTACTGCAATTTTACTGTTGTTAGCTGCCCTCAGCCCAGCTGTGGCCGAGGAGGGCGGGGTATAAAAAATTATTATTATTATTATTATTATTATTATTATTATTATTAATCCAGCCCGACGGTCGATTTAATCCAGCTCCTGTGGCAGTATATCCTGGGGTAAAATCCTAAATCAGTAACTCCAATCCTTAAAAAAGCTCAGCAACTCTGGGGTAAACTTCAATCGGTAAACTTCGGCCCCTATGCATGTTCTCTTCACCAAATCCGGCCCTCTTTGAAAAAAGTTTGGGAATCCCTGCCTGCGCTATAGCCATCCCTGAATTAAAGCAGCTTTCATTCAAACAGCCAGATGAAAATTGGCTTGCATTTGCTAAATTCCTCAAGGTTACTCATCTATAACGGGTTTGGAGTGTGCTTTTCATTTGCTTCCTGTTTTAAATTCCTCAAATCTGCAACATACAACACGAGCGGCTCAATTGGCTCCTGGTGATTTAGAAGGGTTCCTCGTTGCTTCCAACGCGCTACCCATCTCGCTGCATCGGCCATGACCTATTTAGTGTGAAACGAGGCGCTTCAAAGCAAATTGCTATCGGCAGTAGGAAATGTCACACGTCTCCAGCAGGCTGCACTGGAAGGCAATTCAGACTTCCACTCTTGCACGTGAGCTAAAGAAAGAGGCAAAAGTTGAGCCGCTCCCTCGCTGCTACTTTTGAGGAGAGTTTGGGGAGGAGGGTCGCTTTTTCACAACCATCTTGCAACAAGGTGCTGGTTAGGGCCACTGGTGGCCTAAATTAGGAGCAGCAGACCTCAAGCTCGGGCCATACCCATCACCCTGAGTGTTTCTGCCTGGCTGGGAATAGGTCCGCAAACTCTGATCCTGTGTCACGGAAATGACAGGCAGAGCAGGTCATTCACAGGTCAGAGAGAGAGGCAGAGCAGAGCCATTGTGGCTAGTAGAAGAAGAAGAG